TTCTTATAGTTGCAGACAATCTTAAAGAGTAATTTCTGGGTAAACTGCTCCTTGATTTCCTCTATAGTCAAATAGTATTGCTCCATTGTATTAATGGGTCTCTTCTCCTTAATTGTAATCTTTAGTTCTCTCTGGTTGCCTCTTACCATATCTTTATTTTCCAATCAATAAAACTTTCCCATGGGAGGATTTCTTATGGTTAATTTCAAAACCTTCATATATATTCTTTATAAAATTTTAAACAACCCACAGGAAATATTCTTTCCAAAATCAATATCCTAATCTCCCTTTTACTCTTTTTCAAAAGTAAAAATGTTTCTTTTTTACATGACATATGAACCTTCTTTCATTGAGGATAGAAGAAAACTCTCCCAGTGTAATGAAACTTGCCCTTCTGAAGGTTCTTAACATCCAAAAAATCAGGCAATTTCATAAAAATCAGGCAATTTCTTTTTTACATGACATATGAAACTTCTTTCATTGAGGATAGAAGGAAACTCTCCCGGTGTAATGAAACTTGCCCTTCTGAAGGTTCTTAACATCCAAAAAATCAGGCAATTTCATAAAAATCAGGCAATTTCTTTTTTACATGACATATGAAACTTCTTTCATTGAGGATAGAAGGAAACTCTCCCGGTGTAATGAAACTTGCCCTTCTGAAGGTTCTTAACATCCAAAAAATCAGGCAATTTCATAAGGTGATTAAGAGAGGAAGTGGGTGAACCCAGGGTCCTTTTGAAGACGCTGAACCGCAGCTTAGACAAGATGATTTCCTCCACAGCTCCCAGAGCTCTAAAACTCACTGCAGGTTGCTATTTTACTATCTCTTCATGGGGAGCCTCTGTATGGAACAAACTTGCGAGTGATCCAAATCCTCTCCTTAATCCGGAGAGGAGTTCTGAGGAGCTGATCCATTCACCAGCTCCATTTTCTGCCATGGCCATTGGCTCCGCTCTTCATGGCGCATTTTCAGTCCTATATTGCTTCCCCGGAAGACCATGTGACCAATTTGGTGTAATGATTAAGGTGCTGGGCTAGAAAGCAGGAGACTGTGAGTTCTGGGCCTCCCTTAGGTATGAAAGAGAGCTGGGTGACTTTGAGCCAGTCAATCTGTCAGTCCAACCTACCTCATGGAGTTGTTGTTGTGGAGAAAATAGGAGGCAGGAGTATTAGGTAAGTTTGCCACCTTGAATTGACCAAATATATAAAAGCAGGTGGGATTATTATTATTACTGGAGAGCCAATGGTAATTTTTGCCGAGGTATTATAGGTTAAGCAAAGGTTTTAAAACAAACAATGTGAAGTATTTGCTGGGATATTCATGGGCTGGAACAGCTGGAAGATGTCTCTGGTCTTTGGCTATATTCCTAAGCATATGAAAGCAGGAATTACAGCAAGCATCAGAGGCTGTAACAGCCATGAAAGATGCTTCAAAACGTCAGCGTAAGTAGTTTCTACTCTACTTCCTATATGATGAATCAATAATCCATGGTATTTCTAAGGAAGAAAGGCAGCAGTTGGAGTAATCACTTGGGTTATACCCAGGCCTTTGAGGAAGCCAGGCCTCTGAGGAAGCTATGGCAAAATTTGCCACAAAAACAAAGACTGTTTCACTCTCTGTCTGAAGCATGGATGTCTGGTACAGGTAACGGGTCAGATCGTGAGAGTTCTAGAATGTTGGCTGAAAGTGAGTGAAAGCGAGAATAAATTCTGGACCTGCCACACCTTCAAGGGGGAAGTCGATTCTATAGACTATTTCTTCCTAGAAAGGAAATAGAAACTGCTTCATCTTTAATTATCTTCTCCTTTTCAGTAAAAAGATATTCTTTCATTGAGGAAAGTGCCTTACCATACTATCCCCTGTGCACCTGAACCAATTGGCTTCAAATTCTGGTATCGTTTTAGTACAGTGAAAGTAGAATCTCCAATTTCAACACTGTAGAAGTTATTTTCACGCTTGCTTCTGCTCATGTTGCCTCCAGCTGAAGAACTTAAGCTAAAAGACATCAACCTGCAACATATAAAATAACATTTTATAGGCTCACATATAATGGTTCATTATCTTTTCCTGCTTTCTTTCACTACATAAATGAGAGAGGAAGAATGCTCATGGATATTTTCTTGTCAATTCTAAATAACATATTATATAAGCACTTGAAGTATATACTTCATATTTTACATAAGTTAAGTAACAAGTAGAATTCTTTTCTGCCCCAACACCAAGACAATTTGGCTTTCATTTCTAAACCAATCTGAATTAAACTGCATGCTCATATGAACGATTGGTTTTGGAAGCTTCTACAATCCCAGCCTGTCAAAGGCTTTTTTGTCACCCCTAAGTCAATGGAGTCCTGGCAAGAACTTCTGAGTATACAACATGACTTTGCAGCTGATCATCTGTGAGAGTCCCTCAAAGCAACAATGCAGAGATAGCAAGAGATTATTTTCCAGTTCTACCCTATCTATAAGCACCTAACCCCAAATTGCTTAGGAAACAAGGGAAAAGACAACTCACTACTGAACATTTTCAAGCATCTTCAAAAGTGAATTACCACTTGTCCCACATCAACCTTTTAAATTATATCATGTTGGAAGAGGCCATTTAGCCCAAAGTCATACTCAGTACAAGAATCCAAATTAACGTATCCCTGACAGATAAACTGCATCTCTGGTTGGATACAAACAGTGAGAAGGAAGGAAACTACCAAATCCCTTAATTGGCTGCACTGCTCTTACCATTAGTGACTTTTGTTTCTAAAATTCAACCCGAATCCACCTTCCTGTAGCTTAAATCCATTATTCCAAGTCCTGCATTCTGAAACGATAGAAAAGAGGTCTCAACCTTCTTCATTATGACAAATCCATTCAGATATCTAACGAGTGCTATCATCTCCAATCAGCCTTCTCTTTTCAAAGCTAAGTATTCCTTCAACTTCCCTTTACTGGTCTTGGCTTCTAAGTCCTCTTTATGGCCCTCCTCTGAATTGGTTCTAACTCCTTCTTAAGATGGGGTGTCCAGAACTGGCAGGGTACTCAACATGTGGTCTGACTGATGCAGAATAGAGTGGAATGATTTCCTATGATTTGAAAACTGTACCTCTACTGATGCAGCCTAAAACTGCCCTGGCCTCTCCACTGCTCATTCATATTCAGTTTGCAATCAGTTTCTATTCTGAGATCTTTTTCACAAATACTATTATCAAGACAGGTATACTTCATCTTATACCTGGGCACTTGATTTGTAGAGAAATCTGGAGGTAAATGCAAAGGATACAGAAATCATTGTTATTTTCAATTAATTTGTCTCACCCAGCAAGGTTATTTTGAATCTGACTTCTGTCTTTTAGAGTACTAGCTATCCCATCCAATTTTGTGTTGTATGCATATCCGATAAACCTTTAACTCTTCATCCATGTTAACAATAAAAGTATTGGAGAATTTAGGACCCAGAGTTTATCCTTGTGGCATTCTCCTTAATATCTTTCACTGTTCTAGAAAATTTGACATCCCTTGTTTCCTGATTTGTCCTGCAAATTTCATCCCATTCTAGGTAAGAATTAAAGGAACTATATGCACCGTTATATATTTACGTATTTGTCCTGCTAGATAATGGGAGGCTAGTGCTCCTTTTTTCCCGTTTGTGCTCCAGAATCAAGAAAGGGTTAGGACAAGTCTGGTTGCTTTTGGAACTGATGCTCTGGATATGAATCAGGTTAGGCAACCTTATTAGAAATGCTTGTCTGGAAATTAAATTCCACCAGAATCAATATGACCAACTTTCCAATAGATGCATTTAATGTTATTTTTGTTATAAACTGCACATAAGCCACAGGTCTTTCCACACTTCTCAGCTATACAGTCATAATTGCATTAATTACAAAATAAACAATAGAGATTATTAAATTAAATCTGCATCTCCACCATTTTACTGCATGCAATATTTTTATTTCAAAATCTGACTTTAAAAATAATTGTTAATTAGGAGTTCTGTTCATTCATAAGCAAAAGACTAAAGGGAAGCCTTCTGCTCTCAACACTGTCTACTAATAAATCTTGCCTCTGTGATCTTTACAAGGTGAGTAAACAATATTTTTAACCGATAAGGGCTGCTTTTGCACCTGCCAATCCACCATGAGTTGCAAGCAAGCCAAGCACAATGCGGTTTCCTTGGCTCTGGCAAATGGGTGGACTTGGCCCCTATGGATGGTAGGATGCCAAGTCTCTTGGGCAAATGCAGCCAGTGATGGCTGATTCCATAAAAAACGGCTTAGCACAGTCGCGCATCAAAGCGGAAGACCCCAAAGGGTAGGCTGACTCGGGGGGCAGGCCAACCACGGCCTCGGTCTCCCCGTGAGAAACGGAGGGCAGGCCGGTGGAGGCTCCGGCCAAGTCGCCCCGCATCCCGAAGCTCCCGGGGACCGGCGGCCGCTCTACTCCTCACCTTGACCGACCTCGCCGAGTTAAGCAGGCGGACCTCCACGCAGAGAGCAGCTTCCCGCCTCGCGTCGGCCTTGCGCCCCGGGCACAGGCCCAGCAGTGTCCGGGCGCTCAGGTGCAGCGCTCGCCGCCTCCGCGCGCCCTCCGGGTCGGGCCGACAGGAAGGAGCGGAGCCGCAGCCGCGGCCTGGCCGCCTCTCCGCCTGTCTCCTCCGAGGAAGCGCGCCCGCCGGACGCCGCGCGCCTCCCTCTCCCGCGCTCCCGGGCCCGTGCGCGCGCCCCTCCTCCGGGCACCTGGAGCGCGAGACCGCAGCCCCGCCCGCCCAGAGGCCTCGCTAGCGCTCCCGCCCCGCTCCCCACCTGGACCGCCGGCGCCGCCCGCCCCTTCCTGCGCGAGCCGGGGAAGCTGCCCGGCTTCCGCCCGCGTCGTCCTCGCGCCCCGCAGGAAGTGAAGCTGCGCGGCCGGCAGAAGTCGCTTCCTCCGCTGGAGCAGGTGGAGCGGGCGGGGAGCCCTTGCGCCGGGACGAGGCGGCCGTCTCCGGCCCGGGTGCGCTGGGCGTATCCCGTGGGTTGAACCTGGCCCCAGACCCTCGGCCGGAGAAGGAAGCCGAAGGAAGCGTCTCTGGGGAAAGGAGCAGCTTCCCGTAGAGAATCCGCCTGCGACTGCCGTTTCCATCGTCCATCGACTGCTTTCCTAACAACCCCCTTGGTACAAGGCTGCGGCTCTGAGGCGTGGATCCCTTCGGTCTTAATTCTTTGTGTAGGAACTGACGGTCAAATGACAGATCACACTGGACTCCATGGACTGAGCCAGAAAAAGCACGATTCTTCCCAATTTTGGCATCACCGTGGCAGAAAACATGGATCGAAGTCAGGGATGCACCTGACGGATTTCTATACGACGTTCTTCTGAAATGTTTTTTAACATTAAAAAATAGGCTGTAAATTGCAGAGGACATGAATTCAATTATTTTCTGTGCCATCCTGGCATAAAAACAGGGATTTGAAGCATAAACCTTCATATACTGTATAGTAACGTCAAACTATATAGTGCATGCTGTATCTTCTGGCATTAATGATGGATTTGTAACATGGATCAGCAAGGAACCTCAGAATGTTTTTGTAATAATATATAATCTGTTCTTATATACCATTCCAATTTAAAAAAATCAAAGATCACAGCCCAAATCATAAAGATCAAGGATACTATGCTTTATGATGCCCCTGTGGTAGAAAAACATAGCTCCTTCATAAATCCTCGTTATTATGTCCATTACAGTGCAATTTCATTAAACTAAGGGAGGAACAATTATTGAGATCATCATACAAATGACACAAATTATGCCATTTATGTCAAGTTATACAAATAACATTGTTTGCATAACTACATCACTATGCATGTGATGTAAATCACAGTGGAAATTTGGTCAGCTGTGTGCAAACTGTTGCATGGAGGTCTGGTAAAAGATTTCCCTGTATTTTAATGTTAATTACAGTGCATTCATATCAATTGTCCACATCAAGAAAAATATAGGCTTCAATTATATGCTCTGCCTTAGCATAGATACATGAACATTCATGGGAATTCATACCAGTCTTTAAAAACCACCATGAAATCATATCACAGAGAGGGAAGGTGGACTGTATATACCTTTCAGATAAATTTAACTTCAGTAGAACTATTAAGATTAGAATCATCCATTGTTAGGAGGAATGTAATCATCTGAGTCTGAGGACAAATTCAAAAGGCAGTAACACCTCACTGGCACTTCCCAGTGGAAATAGGGAGGACACCTGTGTGTAATTGGGAAAGGCTGTGGACAGAGCCCTTCACCTTGTGATGTGATGATCAGGCCAGAAGCAGTGGCCCTGTTTCCATAACAAGCTTAATCCAGTTACTCATTAACCAAGTCAGATTTCCCTATCAGTGATACGGGGGGGGGGGGATGTACTATACACTGCCTTTTGCTCCTGTACAGAAGGCAGGATGTACATCTAACAAACCAACCAGAGTGTATTGTATTGTATTTTAAATTTATAAGGCTGCCCAACTCTGTACAGTAATGACCTATAAAACTCTAAATTAAAATATGGGTAATATAAATAGGAAACCCCAAACATCTGGGAAAAAACCCCTATCCTACAAAAGAAAAATACAGAGGACCCACTTGGGGGAAGAGCCAAGTTTTCAAGGCTCTTTTAAACACACATAAGGCAGGGGCCAGACAAATCTCAGGGCAGGTGGCGCTCCAAAGGACAGGCGGTCCAACGGAGAAGGCACGTTTCCTAGGTCCCAAAAGATGGCACTGCCTAATAGAGGGGACCTGGAGCATGCCAACTCTACCTAAGTTGGGCAGAAAGTATGAAGACAGACAGCCCTTTAGATCAGTGGTGTCAAACTCAAATAGAAACGGGGGCCACTAAACCCAACATAAAGATCCCTGTGGGCCGCATACAGCATTGACTTAGAAAACCACATGTCAACACTTTAAAATCAAATAGGAGCTAAATATAACTAATGTATAAAAAAGTATTATTGTGAATGTAACTGTTTTCAATATTTATGTGTATTTATATGGGTGTGTCTGTGTGTATTTCCCCATCACCCCACTCTGAGCTTCTTCCTGGCCTACTTACTCCCATTTACCACCTCTGCAATGTTCCCTCTAGTTTCTAAGTTCCTGTGGGCAGAAAAAAATGTTGTGTGTGGCTTTTCTCAATCCAAGTACAACTTTGTGCACCACAATATGAGGATATGAATAAATTGCAAATACATATAATAGTGATATGTTAAAATATTTATGTACTTCTTAGTTAAAGTATAGAAAGTAGAACAGTATGTCACATGCACACTCAAAAGTTGTGCCTTCAAGTCATTTTGGATTCTTGGCAACTACCCCTGCACTCTTCTCGGCAGCATTTTTCAGAAGTGACTTGCAGGTCTAGTTCCTCCAGGGGGGTACAACCGGCCCAAGGTCCCCAGCTGGCTTCCTCCCCAAGGCGGAACTAGAACTCACCGCTTCCTGATTTCGAGCCTGGCCTCTTACTCACTACACCTAACCAGCTCCACATATGTAGGCTACAGATTATAATATAAACTCACCAATAACTGCAATCAGTATTTTGTAAGCATTTAAAATTCTTGCTGTCTTTCCTTGGAATCTGATATTGTAATGAAGGAGAAAAAAAGAAAAAAGCATTATACAAAGAACATTTAGATCACCCCCTCTCATTTTTTCCTCCTCCTCTAAAATGCATTCTGAACTTATATAAACTTTACAATAATTATTATTAATTTAAAAATTGAAGTGTTTATAAAGTTAACAACGATGGTGGACCTCGCGCAGCCTGAAACTCAGCAGATACGAATTAAACCTCTTTCGGAGGGAGAAGAGAAAGGAAGGCAGCCTGGTTTGGCGGGAAGCGCTCCTGGGGCCCGGGGCACGTCGGCTGTCGGCGCAGGGCTGCCTGTCTGTTGCCCCGGGGAAAAGGCACGAGCTCGCTGCCTCGGCCTAACAGTCGCAGCGAGGGCCGCTCGGCGCTGCTGCAGCGCAGACGGAGAGGGAAGTGCGGTCGCGCGGGGCTCCTGCTCAGGCCGCGCTGGGGCAGCGCCCGGCAGGGCTGGCTGTGGCAGTTAAGCCAAACTTCTTCAGGGCGCCTCGCAAGCCAGGAGCGTTACGGTGGTTGGTGGCCACATCTGTTGAGTTTTGAAATGTAGTATTATCTATGTTTTAATGTGTTCTTATTTTATTTTGTTAAATATTTCCCAGTTGCATCTGAATCTGGTTTGGGCCGTTCTCGGGAGTACTGGGGGCTGCATGGGCCCGCAGGTTTGACACCTCTACTTAGATAACCAGGCCCTATGCCATGAAGGTTTTATGTTAACTAACCGTTAATAGGCGATAACTAGCATCTTGAATTGCACGCAGGAGCCAACAGGTAGCCAGTGTACCTTGCAGAGCACTGGTGTTACATGGGCATACTGTGACAGGCCCATAACTGCCTGTGCTGTTGAATTCTGCACCAGTTGCAGCTTCTGCCTGGTCTTCAAGGGCTACCCCATGTAGACTGCATTGCAATAGTCTGTATGCAAGTTGCTAGCGCATAAGTGACTATCCAAAGGGTTGCCAGTCTAGATATTGGTGCAATTAGCACACAAGATGAATTTGTGCAAAGGCATTCTTGCCATAGCTGCTATCTGCTCCTGAAGTATTATTGTAGTAATAATAGAAGAAGTAGTAATCTTCATCCATGGGGCATCTTGATTTCTTCAATTTTCACTATTTTTCCCCTGTTGATGGTAAAGGTGGCACATTTGTCCAGTCCAAACTCCATTGCAATATCTTGGCTGTATATTCGACAGTGTTGAGCAGCAATTCTATTGCACATAGTGTTTTTCCATACAGCTTCAGATTGTCCATGTATAGCCTGGCAGATGTTTTTGATGTTTGATAGTCAAGGCCTGACTTGTTCAGTACTGTTGCAGAGGAATCAGTGCAATGACAAACAGCAGTGTGTGAGACTAGGCTGAAGCTGCCATAACCTAAAGATGAAGCAGGCAGGTAAGCAGAGAGGATAAAAGCCAGGAAACTTATCTATGGGATCCCTTTGTGGAGGTAGATAAGAAGGAAGCAAGTCGTTAAGGAAAAAAACAAAGGACCTAAACCAGAAAAAAAGTTGGGCCTGAGCATATGGAAGCCCTCACCCCAATCCCATCAACTTGTACTTTTGGGGATAAAAGGGGTTCCAAAGCGAAGCAAGTCGTTAAGGAAAAAAACAAAGGACCTAAACCAGAAAAAAAGTTGGGCCTGAGCATATGGAAGCCCTCACCCCAATCCCATCAACTTGTACTTTTGGGGATAAAAGGGGTTCCAAAGCCTGCCCACTCTGAGTCGTCTTGGTCATCTGAGTCATCCAGACTTGGCGGCTTCCATCCCTCTAGCTAGTGCCTGGCAGCCTAGTTGGGAAGGACGTGG